CTCTCTTTGTTTAAAGTAGTCAGGGGTCTTTCCATGGCAGGTAACAAAGCCTCCTTGGCCTATAAGAAAACTACTCCATGCCATCAAATCTAAGATACCATCAATAGTGAAGTTATAGCCTGATTCAGAGGCATCTAAGTGTGGCAAGCTGTTAAATATGTGGCCAGCTGGAGAAGAAAAATTTTAATTGTAAATATTTCATAAAATTGCAACTATTTTCATAATCAAGAAACAATCAATCTCTTGTCTAAGATGAGTATGCCAACTCAGTAGGGAAAGATAAGAGCTGAATGACATAATGAGAGGCCTCTAATACTATGAGACGGGACAAGCTGTGATCACAGACCTGTCACTTTAAAATCTCTACCACCAGAGGTCAGTAACCCTCATATTACAGTCCAGTGGACTTGCGGAGCCTCACTGAGACGCTGCTCTGAAAGCTAAGTGATACGGACTACTTTAATAGGTTACCACAAACACACAGAAGACAATCCCCTTAAGTAAGTCAGAGCACTGTTTCTCCACCTTCCTCCATTATCCCGGCCCCCTTTTATCTATTTCCTCCCCAACTGTCCTACTCCTTTGACACTTGAATACCGCAGATACGCTCTGTATCCATTTATGTACCATGGCTCTTTGAAAGCCACAAACCACAGTGAAATCTTTTTGTCCCCCAACAAGAACCAATCTTTGCTCACTCTGGGACAATAGCTCCCAGTGGAGAGTAAATGAGTTTGAGAGAATACACATTTAGGTTTTGTTTGTTAGTTTATGCAGACTGGTTGCTGACTGCTTTAGGTCGTATTTTTGAGCTGGGAGGAAATGTACAACTTCATTCACCAGGTGCTGGGCCTTGTTTTGCAGAGAAAACCCACCGTGACAACAGCAATAAAACAAGCGAGCAAGGACCCAAAGGGACTGTGGCTCATCCAAGAACAGAGCTCCTCAGGGCCGAACTGGGCCTGCGACTCGGAGATTCCTGACTGAAAGACGGTGCTTTCCTTCCTACAAACAGTGGCCCCTATTTCTTTCCTATTTTTGATCAGTGTAGACAAGGTTGACCAGTCTTGCTAGAAAAATGAGTTTGCAGGCTTGTTCTGAAAACATACTTAGGAGAATGCCTTGCAGGTGGAGAAGGAAGAGCCGGGAGGGAAAGGCCTGACTGGGCTAAAGGAGGCAGGCGGTGGCGAGGGGGGGTCGCGGGGAGGCTCAGCGCCCACGCAGAGGCCTGAAATGACCGAAGAGCCTCTGACAGCTGAAGGGACAAATGGGAGGCCAGGCAGTAGCACAGACAGTTCCAAGGAGCCGTACAGTTCCTGAAGTACTGCTAGATTGATGGGGTTATTAGTCATGAATGAACTGCTGCATACTTACCGCCTGTTCAGGTGCTTACAATGTACTTGTGTTCTTGGTTCCGCCATTAAATAGATTCCAGACAGTTAATCCTGATAAGAACCACGAAGATATGACTGGTCTAATAATACAAAATTTGAAAAGCAAACACATGAAGTGGTTGCTCTGGGCTGGGCACTGTTCCCACACTCTGCACGTGCTGTATCACGTACCCCCCGCAACATGCCCATAAAGTAACGACACACATTTAAGGTTCTCACTGAGACCTGCAACGCTGCTGAGCACCTTACTCAGGTACTGGGAAGAGAAAGATGAACCATGAGAGAGACAGAGGGGATTTGGGGATGGCCGCAAAGAGTGGATGAGATTTGGACTGGGCCACACGGTGTGTTACTAGACCGGCCGCGTGGAGGAAGTGAGCAGGAGAAGGTCCTAGCCCTCAAATGATCAGACACCCTAAGGCGCGGAGACCTGAGGGACATACAGAGCAAGGGTCTGGCAAACCATGCCTGTGTGCCGAATCAGGCCTGTTTTGGTATATAAAGTTTTATTGGAACACAGCCCTGTCTGTTGGGTGGAGTGCAGTCTTTAGCTGCTTTCTGCCTTGCTGTTTCACAGGCAAGCCGAGAAGTCATGACCGAGACGAAGACTAAGACCATCTGGACCTTTACAGAAAGTTTGCAAATGGCAGTATTCCTGGGGGTTGCGTGTGTGTGTCGGGGGCGTGGGGGGCAGCCCTGAGAAGCAGCAGCACCTGGGAACCCAGCAGAAATGCAGACTCTAGGGCCCCCTCCCAGACCCACAGAGTTAGAATCTGCTTTTTAAAAATCTCTCTGGTGATTCTCACGCACAGAAAGCTGCCTGATCCCTGACATGTATGGCTGGGAGGAGGCGGTGAGGCTGCAGATGGAGAGGAGTATGCACTCCTATATACAGATGGAGAAACGTGGTAAAGACGTGTCTGTAAGGGAGTGGTACCACCAATCCACTCTCTGGAAAGGTCCTTTTGTCACAGCATGACAGTAAGGAGAGCTGACAGCAGAAAATGGGTGGCTAGCTGGTGTCAGAACCCAGGCAAAAGACCCAGACGATGCAGGGGAGATCAAGGTACAGCTTCTTTTGTCCCAGAAGCCAGTGACATTTTCAGAGATTACTCCAATTACACGGGTGCCTCCAAACTGTTTCTAACACATAGTATCTGTGCTAATATATGAGGAAACAGAAAAATACTTGGTAACAAAGATAATGGTGATCATGTATTTCTGTGTATACCAAACGTATCTCCATCTAAGTGATGCCTCCAGACTGCAATGCATAAATTATGACGTTAACTGGGTGAAGAAGGAAGTTTATAAAGATTAAATGAGGATCTAGTCAACAGCTATATCTATTATGTAGGCTGCTAACACATCAGCTCACAGGATATTGAAAGGTGTAAGGTCTCACTGTTAGGACATTTTCTTTCCCTAAATAAATGTAAGATTCTGCCTGATACTCAGTTTTTCTGTATTTTAGATGAATAAGCAATTTAAGGTTCGAAAAAAACAAAGCAGTATTTTAGATGACCACACCAACACTATCCTTCCAGCTTGGGTAACAGCTTCCGAGCAATTGTTTAACACTATGCCTCCTTGAAAATCTACAAAAGTTTGACAGGGTTATTTGTGGGATTCATTATGCCTTTAAAGTAATGACAGCGACACAGATAAAAACAGACAGGTGAAAAGGGGAAATTCCCTTCCTTAGACACTTCGGTTTAATATTTGACAATTCATTCCATTGGCAGAAACAATGCAAAATAAATAAGGCAACATAACTAGACAATTAAATAAATAAACTTCAAGTAAGACCCATCAACCACTTGTTAAAATGAAGTTCTATATTAAAATTCATTAATAAAAACCTTAAAAAGCCCACTGATTTGAGGACAATGGTTAATGGCACTCAAAAGATAACGACTCATGAATAACAAAAAATAACAACTAATACTTACAGAGTGATTACTATGGGTTTACACTGTACTAAATACCATTACGTGGGATACCTCATTTAATCCTGAAAATACCCTGTTATTAGCTCCATTTTATAAGTGGGAAAACTAAGGCAAATGGAGTTTAAGTAACTTGTCCAAAGTCACACAGCTAAATAAGCAGTGGAGCTAAGATTTGAAGCTGGGCCTGTGCTTTTAACCACATGATTAACAACCCTAACATACCACACTTAAGTGTAACTCTAATAACATCTGCTCTCCATTTTCCTCTTGTCCCCATGTGAATCTGCAAAAAGTTTAAACGTAACAGATTCTCATTTGTCACTAATATCAGGGAAGAAGAAAACTGCTATGGTTTAGACAAACTTTTCATGGAAAGGGGGAAGGCACACCATATTGCCCTGTGGACAGTGGCCAGAATTTAACCTGTAATTTAATAAAACAGAGGAATTATGGTGGACTCACTTTAAGACACTGGATTATTTTTCAGTAGGTTAAAATGTAAATTAAGCCCCAGTAAAATTCTGAGTTGTACCATGCAACTGTTTGTTAATAAATATGGATGCAGACTTTTAATGATTTTTATGAATGCATTATCTTCTAGTGAACATGTTTGTGAGATGCTGCAGGGAATCTAAAACAAAACAAAGTGTAGGCACTGGCCTAATGTTATCCGGTTAATATCCTCATTCGTTTTGCATCCTGATTTAAGTGATTGACCATAAATGAACAGAAGTATTAAAGTAATGTTGGCACAAGGCAGAGCATCCACATGGCACACCCTTTGTTCCAGGAGCTTTATTCTATCAATACTCTTGGGAAAAAGAGAAGTCACTAAACTAAATAATGAGAGTACACAAGACAGGGTGGAGGTCTTTTAAAGTCCTCAAATTGTCAAGGATCTTAAAAAGTTGCTTTTCAACTTTGAGCCGGTCATACTGCATTTTAAACAACCAGTTCTGCCAAAGAACAAGTTCAGCCCCTTCAAATTTTAGGTTTCAAAGAAAGATTCAGGGTAAAAAAAACATCGTAGTCCACTTAAAAATATTAATTTTGCGAAAAGAACAAACTCATCCCCTTCGCATTTGGGCAACTTTCAAATAAGATTCCGGTAAGTAAAAACAAAAAACAAAAAACAAAAAAACAGGGCAGGAAAAAAACACCGAGTGAGAGGAGAGGAGGCGACAGGAATGATGGAGTGACAGGGTCACCTGAACTCAACCAATTCACTAAGCCGCTACTGGTTTTCGTATTTAACTTTCCCTATTGAAACAAGAAGACACACCCTGCTGGCGGTATTTTCTCAAACACAGATAAGGGATCCAGCTGGTGTATTGAAAGGCATGGACCATAAACAGAATTTGGGGTTTCCTCTACGCGCATGCTGGCATGACAATTACTCCTGCATGACACCTTGCTTTCATCGGAAAGGACAAAAGGACCGGCCCCCGGGGCCGCTGGCGGTTTGCGGGGCTCGCCTCTCCCACCGGCGGGGATTCGCCCCCGGAGAGGCACCAGGGCCGCCGCAGACGTCCTCCGCCGGCGCCGGGGCTGGGGGCGCAGGGCGGGGTCCCGCGGCCTCCGGGGCGGGCGGCGGGCCGTCCCCGCGCCCGGCCGGCGGCGCGGCGGCGGGGGCGCGTTCCAGGGGGGCGCTCACCTTCTTCTTCCAAGTCGAATTTCTCCAGCATGCCGGCTTCCGCGGGTCCCGGGGCCGCCGCCAGCGCCGCCTGAGGAGGAGGAGGACAGGGATCAGCATGCGCCCGGCGGCCGGCGCTCGGGGGCGCGCGCGGGGCGGGGGCGCGCAAGGCGCGCGCGCGCGCGGAGGACCCGGCGAGCTCCGCGGCGGGCAGAGCGCCCGGCCTGGCTCAGCGCGGCGCCGCCGGGAGGAGGGGCCTCCGGGCGCCGCGGGCGGCGACCCACCCGCAGCACGCCCCCCGCCCGCCCCCGCGCTCGGCCGCAGGTGGCCGGGCCGCCGCCCAGCCTGCCGCCCCTCCCCGCGGAGCGCCGTCGCCCCGGAAGTCTGGGTCTGGCCCGGCGGGAGGAATGTAGGAGGAGGACCCGGGGAGCAACGGGCCGGCTCGCGAGGGGAACGGGGCGCCCCCCTCCGGCCGCGGCCCTGCTCCCCGTCGCGGCGGCCCAGCGGCCATTAGCGGAGGCCGTGTTCCCGACCGGATCCGTCCCGTCCTCCCACCGCACGCGTCCGCTCTCCGTCCCCGCCACCCACTGCCTGCGCGTCCCGCGGGCTTAACCTGCGCAGGTGTGGTCTCGGCCAGCCGGGGTGGGGCGGGGGGCGCCGCCGGGTTTGGGGCCCCGCGCCAGGCCGAGCGCTGAGGCTGCGGGACCCCCAGGAAGATGGCACGCAGACCTGGGGTGATTGCTTTTCTTAAAAATTTAACCTGCCCATCCCCGCCTCCTATTTATTAAAAAAATTGTTTCGTGGGTTCCACGTACTGTAGATGCGCTTTGGCGCTATCAGTTTTACCCAGCCGTGGAACTCTCGATTTGCTTCCTCTCCTCACAGCCGACTCTCTCCTTTGGGGGAGCGGCTGCCAAAAGCTCACACAAATCTCAGTCTGGCCTGGCCACTCCTGCCACCCTGAATCTGTATCTGAGACTCCCTATCGCCAACTCAGGTTGGCAGGCGGTGAGGCTGGCAGCCGAGACCTACCTGAAAGAGCAGGGCATCCCAGAGAGGGGACAGGCACCCCACTCTGCAAGCCTGTCTGGTGTGACAGCCAATTTCTGCCCCATCTAAGAGGGGGCCTGAGTTCACTGCAGAATGCAAGGACTCCAATAATGAGATGAGCACTGATTAGGGCTCTAATGGCCCCCAACCTCTTGAAAGGAACTTGGTCCTATCACTCTTGCAAGCCTAGCCTCGAGAAGAAAGTACTGAAATCTGCTTTGTGTTTGCTTTTTGCTCTGTCATCCCAATTGGGCCAATTAAGCTTCTTAAAATGGGGGGAGGGAGAGAGAAAAAACTAATTTTGTAAGATGTTTGGTTGTAAAAACCTTCAGCTGTGTGATACTTGATAGCAAAAGATTCAGTGCTTTTTGCTTTCCCTCTTAAGTTCAGGAAGGAGGCAAGGATGTTTGTTTTCACACTATTCTTACTCAGCATAGTACTGGAAGTTCCAGCCACTGCAATAAGGCAAGAAAAAGAACTAAAAACCTACAAATTGTAAAGGAAGAAACAAAACCATCCCTATTTGCATACAAAGTGGCAAGGGATCTAACAAATGATACAAAAACTAGACCTAGTGAGTTCAGCAAGGTCATAGTATACAAGATCAACACACAAAAATCAATTGCATTTCTATACACTAACATGTAGAAACAATTAAAAATAATTATTACTTTTAATCACTGCAAAGACAAATACATGGGTATACACTTAAGAAAATATACACAAGATCTGTATGCTGAAAATGAGAAAATGTGGAGGAAATGAAAGAAGACCTAAATGGAGAGGCATCCCATGTTCATTGTCCATGGATTAGAAGACCCAACATAGTAAAGATGCCTTCATCAAACATCAGTTTGACATATTTATGTAGGTCTACTGTAGATTCTGTTTGTTTCTATTGATCTTTGTGCCTGTCGCTCTGCCAGTACCATACAGTCTTGATTACTGTAGCCCTATAATAAACTTTAATACTGAGTAAAGTGATTCCTCCCACTTTATTCTTTTTCAGGATGGTTTTAGCTATTTTAGAGCCTATGCCTTTCCACCCAAATTTTAGAATAAGCTTGTTTTGTCTTCAAAATCCTTGTCAAGATTTTGATAGGAATTGCATTAAACCTAGAGATCACACTGCTAGGCCAGGACTTAGACCTCACATAAAAAGCATGACCCATAAAAGGGAAAACTAATAAATTGGACCTCATTAAAATGTAAACCATTTGCTATGTGACAGACCCTGTTAAAAGGATGAAAAGACAGAGTGAGAGAAAATATTTGCAAACCATATAACCAACATAGCTAGTATCTGGAATACATGAAGAACTCTTAAGACTCAACAGTAGAAAAAGAAAACCAGTTAGAACATGGGCAAAATATATGAAAAGACATTTCACTGAATATATATAGGTGACAATTAAGAACATGAAAATGTGCAGTATCATTAGCTATTAGGGAAATGCAAATGAAAACCACAATAAGCTGTCACTACACACCTATTAGATCGCTCAAAATAAAAATAGTGACAACACCAAATGCTAGTGAGGATGCAGAGAAACAATCACTTCTGCACTGCTGTAGGATGCAATGTCATACCGCCACTCCGGAACACAATTGGCAGTTTCTTATGAAACTAAACAGCAGCTGCCATACGATGCATCAGTTTACTCTTGGGCATTTATCCCAGGGTAAAGAGAACTTATGTCCACAGGAAAACCTGTATATAATGTTCATAGCAGTTTTGTTTGTAACAGCCCAAACTGGAAATAACAGATGTCATTCAGCAGGTGAATGGTTAAGCAAACTATATTGTATCTATACCCTGGAATACTACTCAGTAATAAAAAGGAATGAACTAGTGATACATACAACCACTTGCTTGGATGACCGGGGAATTATGCTGAGTGAAAAAAAAAAACAATCTCAAAAGGCTACATACTGTATGATTCCATTTATACAACATTTTTGAAGTGACAAAATTACAGAAATGGAGAACAGAATAGTAGATGCCAGGAATCAGCAGCTGGGGGACAGAGGAACTTGTAGCTGTAAGAAGACAGCATTAGGGATCCTTCTGGGGCTGGAACTGTTTTGCATCTTGACTGTGTCCATGTCAATAACCTTCTCATAATGTCATACTGTATTTTCTCTCATACGTCAAGCCAAGCTGATTTAATTGTGTGGAGACATGACAATTTGGTTGTTGTTTTTTTTTTAAAGAACATCTTTGTTGAGATAAAATTCACATATATAAATCATCATAAAATATGATTTTCAGTATACTCACAAAGCTGTGCAACATCTGTGTTACAACATTTTCATCATCCCAAAGACAAAGTCTGAACCTATTAAGCAGTCTTTGCCCACGAGTCCCTCAACCTCCACTCCCTGGCCTCAGAGACCACTGATCCCTCCCCGATTCTGTGGACTTGCCTCTCCCGGACATCTCATACAAAGGGACTCCCACACTACGTGGTCTTTTGTCTCTGGCTTCTTTTACTTGGCGTAATGTTCTTAAGGTTCTTCCACGTTGTAACAGGTGTCAGCGCTTCATTTCTTTTTATTGCACATAATACTCCAACTGTAGGGATGTACAACATTTTTACCCATTCATCAGCTGATGGATATTTAGGTGTTTTTCCACCTTTTGGCTACTGTGAATAATGCTTCCATAAACATTTATGTATAGGTGTTTGTGTGGACATGTTTTCACTCCTCCTGGGTATAGACCTAGGGATGGGATTTCTGGGCCATATGGTAACTCTATATTTAACATTTTGAGAAACTGCCAAACTGCTTTTCACAGCGGCAGCACCCTTCTATATTTTCACCAGCAACCCACGAGGGTTCCAGTGTCTCCTGTGCTATAGTTTGTAAGACATTACTATCCAGGGAAAATAGGTAAGGGGTGCACAGGATCTCCCTGTATTGGCTCTTAGAAGTGCATGCACATCTATAATGATCTTGAAATAAAAGTTTAATTTAAAAAAATGGTACATAGTGGAAAGGTCAATCATTCTAACCTTTGAAAAGTCTACATTTAAATTTCTTGCAGTCATTTTAACATGATTTTAGAAAGAAATCCTAGATTGTGTTTATTAGGAGTGCCATCAATTTCACCTGAAATCCTGGTGAGTTGTTTATCGGGAGGCAGAAATGGGCAGGGGAGAAGCATGAATTTCTGGAGGCTGTGAACTTGTAAAAGTGGCCCTCAGACTAAAAAGCCTCATGCCCATTACTGCAGAAGTTGGTAAAGAATAGAAATGGAAACTAACGTGAACCTCTTAGGTTTTACTTCATTTGATAAGGGCAGTAGGAGTAGACTAAGGTAAAGACGTTTCTGTAAGATATGCTAGTGAGGCTGAATTTCTTTCCACAGGTTCTTTTCGTTCAATGAGCCATCTTACACTTTCTTCCTTGGGAAGGAGCATGGTCACAAGGACACTATGAAAAGGCCAATAAAACTGTTCTCTGTAACACACTGGGTCAGTTTCGGGAATCTGAGTGCCTGCAAAGCTTGTTGGGCCTGCACATAAATGCTGACGGACTCACAGGAGTGACAGGCTGGCCAGTGCACATAATTTAAACTTGGTGGTCATCGTTGCCCTTCATGGTGATATTTTCTCAAAATCTCAACAGACTTCTATACCAGACTAAATTTTAGCTATTTCAGGTCAGAAAGCCAGGAGAGGGGCACAGGGGAGGGGAGGGCTTGGGCGACGTTCTGCGTACAGAGAGAAGGGGTGTGCGTTTATCACACCACGTCACTGCTCTGGAGAGCTCAGCGGCATATCATGGCAGAGAGGTACCAGGTTTTCCCCGTTGGGCCTGGGGCCGACTCACAGTACCCTACCTGTATACCATAGGCTTCTGCAGCCCACTGGGGTTCCTGGCCTCCTGTGTGATGGGAAGCAGCAGAAGGTTCTGAGTTGAACTTTACTGAGAGAATGCCTGAAAATCATGCAGCCATTACAAGTGTGACTTTTTGGATGGTGAAAAATGCTGAATTATTAAGGTTTGTCTTACATAATTGTTCCTAGATGCAGC